TCCCCCCCCCCCCCCTTCCTCCTTCTATCTTTGACAACCGCCCATACAGAAGTACAATGTATACAGTTTATGACCTCGAAACAAATATCCAATCAACACGTCAGATGGCCCATTGCTCAAGAAAACACCCCATCCCCCTTTTTCTAAAACAAACAAATAAATCAATAAATCAATAAACAAATTAAATGAATCAATAAATCAATAAACAAATTAAATGAATCAATAAATCAATAAACAAACAAAACAAACAAATTAAATGAATCAATAAATCAATAAACAAACAAATTAAATAAATCAATAAACAAACAAATTAAATAAATCAATAAACAAACAAATTAAATAAATCAATAAACAAACAAATTAAATGAATCAATAAATCAATAAACAAATTAAATGAATCAATAAATCAATAAACAAATTAAATGAATCAATAAATCAATAAACAAACAAATTAAATGAATCAATAAACAAACAAATTAAATGAATCAATAAACAAACAAATTAAATGAATCAATAAATCAATAAACAAATTAAATAAATCAATAAACAGACAAATTAAATGAATCAATAAACAAACAAATCAATAAATATTAATAAAACACAAACGGAGCTAGAAGTAAACAAACATAATATATTTTTTTAAGTTGTTATTTTTGATACAGCATCAATATTCACAACACATTTCACTCATCTTTTTAACTTTATCATCACCTTTGTTAGATTCTGATTCCGGTTTGTAGACGTATGGTCTTGTTCCTTCTGCGGTCTTCTGGTGACATTGCTGGGTTTGGGGAGACACCTCATTTCGCATACATTGGTCTTTTCTTCCTTGGGCTTTGTTCAGGGACCATGTATTTGTTTGGCACTGTTATGTTTAAGTTGGTATTGGCGCTCATATGACCTTATGCAGTTGCGAGCGCCGTAAAACATCTATTAAAAAAAAAAGTTGGTATGAAGATGCTATTGATAAGCTGGGGTTTCACTTCGATTGGGATGTTCTTGTGACTGAGCAGGGTTACTAGGTGGTAGGTCACTTCATGTGGCGTCGTGGCTTAGTGGTTAAGCTCTCGGACTCGCAACCGTTAGGTCGTGGGTTCGAATCCCGTCAGGGGCCCGACGTTGTGTCCTTGGGAAAGGCACTTTGCACAAATTTTCCTCACTTCACCCAGGTGGAAATGGGTACCCGGCTATAGACAGTGAACGATC